CCACCGCAGAACGGATGCAGTCGCGGGGAGGAGTTGCAACACTCCCCGCGACTGCATCCGTTCTGCGGTGGTATGACTCACGGCAAATTGCAGCCACAGCGCGCACTTGATTGTACGCACTGTATTTATGTCATTGTTAGATAATTACTAGATTCTATTTTGAATTAACAATGGGAACCAAATCACCATACCAGAGATATCATTCTTCTTCTCTTCCGTTAAGGTTCCCCACTCAAGATATGACAGATAATGGTGGTAACTCCCATTTAAACTGGAAGACATCACTGAAGACGGACCGCTAGGTCTGGGGTACAGAAGGGCACTGAACAAATAAGGATTCCAACCCTAAGCATAAGTGTGTATCTGCACCCGTGTTTTGAAGAAGTAAAGCAAAACCCAGTACACAACATAAAAAATATTCTTCCCCTTTCACCAGTAAGGACTGATCCCAAAAGAATATTCTGACATTGAAATCCCAATAACAATGGATGGGGAAGATAACTGTGATATTGGATTAGTTAGATCAGCTATGGCTATTGATAGTGCCGCTGGAAAATAAACGTTTCACAAAGCAACTAAGAGAATTGGTTAATTCTGAGGGGCAGCAATGCCTGTGGTAGGGAGTGGAGATTACCCAGAGCACAATAGATGCAGTCCTTTACTATTATATACAGACTTTCATTGCCCCTATCACTGTTCATATGGTCATAGTGGTAAAGCACAAAACCATACAGGTTTAATGCATGGTAGGGATGGATATAAGGTTCCTGCAGACAGCTGATGGGTGGGTTACAATACTGAAATAAAGCTTGTAAGTGAAGGAATCATGTACAAAACCCACTGGCATTCCATTGCAGTTGGTCCATGAAGACAGTGAGAAAGAATAACTACTGTCACAGAGAAGCTATGGAACTTTCAGGGTGAATGTTTCAGTCTCCCTTTGTGTTTCTGCTTCAGAGTACCAGGATGGTTGCAATGCAAGTCAAATGTGTTAAACAGTGACTTGCTGTGTTCAATTTGTTGATTCAGATTGCTTTTTCCACATACTAGAATAAGAGCAGGGACAGAAATTACATATTGCTAGTAATGACTTCCAGCAGGAGACATGGAAAGGTCCAGAATTTATTGCATGAGTATCCATAATGTGCACTGGTGATGAGAGGGATGTTGTACTGTTAGTTTCTTGGAACTCTAGCCATGGTAGAGGGCTCATACCATCTCTCGCAGGGCGGGGGGAGCAGTCTTATCAGCTTACGTCAGCGTGGGTACTACCAGTTTGGAATGTATCATCTTGGAGTGTGGTCAGGCATATAGTACATTGTGTTGCTTGTTAGTTGGTACCAGTATTACATGGTGTTCGTTCCCTATCATGGCACACTGACAATCGCACGGAACAATTCATATTGAGGGCAGGGAAGTAAAAGCTAATTTTTTCTGCTTGGGGAGTAGTTCTGAACGTCACCACAGCAAGCTTACAGCTTCGCGTGCTCCACAACAGTGTTTACCTTTCTTCGCGGCTAAAATTATGAGGCACTAACTATAGTTTCACATCAGTCTAAGCGGAAACTGTTACATGTCATGGGATGACAGGTTAACTAGAGCTGGTGAGGATTTGGATGGGTGCAGCTAGAGTAGCTGTATCAATTCCTGGACAGCAGCAAAGAACAAATGAGTATAATTGATTCCCAGTCTTCAGTTCGCTGTCAAGGAACGTTCTCTGTCCATGCAGAAAATAAAGGTCCGCCTTGATTCCTAAGTTTCTGGATGGGCTCCTCCTATAGAAACATGAGACATCTCTTGTCAGCTGAGAGGTTAACTCTGCTGCAGTTCATACAGTGATGTGGGTTGAGGCATGGTGCCTCACCATGGCCACTCTCACTGAAAAGGCAACAAACGAGGCTCAATGTGCATCCAAAACACCTTCCCATGACAAGCACCAGAGAATGCAGAAGAGAAAATACACTATACGGTTATGCCAGTTCTCAAACTCATTGAAGCCTTCTTTTCTGTACATAGTGCAGAGCCAATCAATGACATTTACAACAGATGCTATGATTTTCAGAAACAGCTAGTGCAGGGATATTGAGAATTCTCATTAATTTATGGTAAACATGTATTTTGTTCAGTTTCTAAAAGCACCAAGGCTTCTGTGCAGCCACTTATGCAACATATTTGTAGCTACATTGTCAGCTTTGGTTTAAAATGGAAAATACATCTGCCTCAATGTCTTGTACAACAGCACTGTGCAACTACAACAAGCTCAACTAAACACTAGACTCCAAAAGACTAACACATATATATGAATCACACCAAAGGAAGTAAATGCAGTTTCTTAGTATTACCACATTCAAACGGTGGCAGGTCTGTGACAACCTGCCTTGTTGTGAAAAATCAATTCAATGAGAGGGGGAGCAATAAGGTCAAAGAATCCCCCCTTTTTTACATTTAACCTTCATTTAAGAACTAAAGGAATGATGATTAACCACAACAAACTTTTCAGACATAAGATGCATGAATACCTCTGGTGTATGAACAAACCATATAAAAAAAAATGACAGGATGGCCAGCATAAATTAAAGAAGCATCAGTCAACAGACTTGAAATCACAAAAATCGTTCTTTACAGATCTGCGATAATGACTATTCATTAACTCATACTTTTGTTGGACACTGTCCATAGTAAGAAATATATTTTATATACATGACGTATTAGAAGCTGGCTTTACTCCTATCTTCGGGTAACTAGTTGCAGAGGCAGATTTCTTACTGGTTCAGTTTTCAACATTAGTGGCAAGTCAGGATGAATCCCAGAAATCTCTTCAATAGCAACCCTGTATGCTAGCAACTATACCACCAATCCATAACAGTTACTAGAAATTTTAAGACATGAAGCTTTGTCAGCAAATTACATAACTTCAAAGTACAATTCCTTGTCATTAGACTATTAACCGGTAACAGCTGTATAACAAAGAGCGCTGGTTCTAACAGGTCACAATGAGCTGCATCATTACAGGCAGCACAGAATGCTATGTCCTGATTCTGTACACAATTTTAAGTGGCCAAAATGGGTAGTAGTCTTGCAAACTTAAAAAGAAGCTTTTCAGGATATTGTTCTATCATATGCCAGTTTTCATCCATTATTTATGATTCAAATTGGCTGAATATCTCCTGAGGACTGCAGATAGGAGTGACATCTGACCACACAAGAACATGAGGAAACAGCAATCAAGGATGACTTACAGGTAACACACAGAGACACTTAGGCACAATCAGGCATTAGTTCACAAAGATATTCTGTCACTGTGCCCAATCTACTCTGAGAAGAAAGTTTGATGTCAATGGACATCCAAAAACCTGACACAAGACCAGAGCCAAAAATAAAACAGGAATGGGATAGGCTTCAATTAATTGAGAAAGGGAGCCAAAATGTGTACCTACAAATCCAAAAATGGAACAAAACTCCAGGCAACCATTTGGATCAATGTATTGTTACAACACAACAGCATATAACATAATGTCTAATATAAAACTGGTTTAGAAGCTCAAAGAAAGGAGGATCAGAACTTTCCTGTTGCTCTGCTGCAAGGATTATTCACACATAGCAAACATGTATCACTTTCTTGCAGAACATTCCACAATGTTTATCCCAAAGTCCAGCCTACAGTTGAGACCTGGCATCATGGGACTCCTTAGTTCTAAGAGGGCAGTTTGCTTTCAAGGTAATCAATTTTCAAATCCTGAAGAAGCTCTATAGATATATAAGCAACAGTACACAGTAGTACATAAAAAGAGAGTACCACTGCACCTACAGTTTATTCAGGAAAATGGAAATTTGAAGATCATTAGAGGATCAGTATACCAAAAAAGAAAATTCCTAGAAGAAATTTACTGTTGTTCAATTATCTGCACCTAAAAACTTTTCGGGTATCTATGGGGTGGGGGAACACCACCTCAGAGAATATACATTGTCCAATATAACTGAGGTATGACGATGCAAATCAATTACACTTGCTTATTCAAAGGATACTCAACAAAACAAAATCCACAAGGAGTCTTTTTGAATTTATCCAATCCCATAATTATTCGTTTAACATCTCCACATTTTGAAAATAGTTCATATATTTGTTCTTCTGTGGTATAGAATGAAAGGTTCCCAATATACAAAGTAGATGACGTTCGCAGAAGTCTTTCTTGCTCACCACGGGAACCCTTAAAAATTAAACAGTAATTAAAATCATTTATACATTTCAATTCTACTAGGCACATACCTTAACCTCATTTATTTGTTGCAAAAATGGCACAATAGAAACAGCTTTTTAGTGAGCGAACATTGTGCACGTAATGTGACATGGTATGTGATATACCGGTATGACCAAATAAACAAGACAGAATCAAGCAGTTTGGTATAGCAGTAATACTCTAAGCTTGTATTCAGCAGATGCCTGGTTCAAATCTTGACCAGAGTTATCCTATCTCACATTTCTTGTGGTTTTTCTCAATCCATCCAAGCAAATGCTGGGATGGCACCTCAGTGAGGTAATTACAGACTGATACAAATGAGGTGGAATAAAAACCTCACGTTTAATGTACAAACACAAAATCGATCATTAAATCAATGTGATCTACAAAAAAATGCTATAAAACAAATTTAAACCAACGCGTAATAAAGGGTAATCACAGCAAACTAAAAAGAAAGCAGTCTTTTGGGATTTGGCACCGTGTATAAGTGGTGTTAACAGACGTTTCGGAGGAACGTATCGCCTCCATCTTCAGAGTAGAAGAAAATATAAGAATTCTGCAAGCGAAGAGACCGTGAGAACCGGTAAAAGCACACTGCTTTTCTTCTNCGTATACAAAGCGACTTGTACTCATGCAAGTGAGGTTAGATTATACGTGTAAATCACACCAAACAAGACCACTTGGCATTTATACTATTTAAACTTACCTTCTCACATTAATCGATTACACATTTCAAACATACTCTACCTTAAAATGTTGATCTCGATAGGAACTTAATTCGACGGAAGGAGAAGTAACCGTATTCATTCTTTCGCTAACCCAAAGACTTTCCACGCGAATCCTGCAGCAGCTGGTCTGTGACGCTAAACCAGCGTATGCCATGTATCACTGTCACCAACTTCGAAATACGATATGCATTCCAAAATGATTTAATACATACTGCTGTGATAGTCTATCCTCTTACACGTTTCAGTATCACCATTCACTACTTTTAAACAATTGGCGTTTGAATGATTGGGTATTTCATCCATAAAATCAGGCGTATGATGATGTAACGATCCTGCTCTTATACCATTTGGTAAATGAGATCATGGAAACTGTGCTATTGATCTGTATGGGGAGATAAAAGTATTCATTCATTTCCTTTATTTTCCATATATCCTTACAGGTAAAAAACCTAGGATGTGGAAATAGTCCCTTTGATAATAGATGTGTCCACATACATATTATAAATTACATGAGTTATGTAATTAAAATCACATACATTAATCAATTAACATAGATAATAAAATAAAAAATAACTTAATACAATTTCATTTACATTACCTAAATTAACTGAATTAAATGCATTATAAATTTACACACTTATGACCAATTATCTTTCCTTCTTTCTTTCTTTATTTCACTTTCCCATAAATCAAAATACATTGATACAGGACTCATCATATCACAATACTCAGCAAAAAACATATACGGGCAATTCTACAGGTAAACAATACATATAAATCATGCTTATCAAAACAAAAACTGCATAAAAATAATGACAAAAGATTACATCAACCACGCAAAAAACCATATCAGATCAGCAGTCAGATTATAAATTATTTGTAAGCAAGGTTTTCCATTACTCTCCAATCTAGATATTCCCGCAATGAGTAAAAGGAGCCAATATGGAGAATTTTTTTAAGGCATGTTTAAACTTATCAGCATCATTTGTCATGTTCTTAAAGATTCTGTGGTAAATTATTAAATATCATAATCCCAGAAGAGTAGACACCTTTCTGGACTTTAGTCAATTTATAAGTTGAATGATGTAAATCCGAACTTTGTCTGGTATGGATATTATGTATATCAGAATTTAGTGTGAAAGTATCCATATTTTTAACAGTAACATGGATATTGAAAATATACATTGTGAGTAAAATGGAGGAATATTTAGATACCTAAACAATGGATGACAAGAGTCTGTTTTTCTAGCTTTCATAATGATTGTTCTTTCTTGAATTTTAAAAATTAAATTACTGTTGGCAGAATTTCCCCAAAATATAATTCCATAGTACATAATCGAATGTACATCTAATGTTCCTTATTGAAAGTAATTTTTAAATATAAAGGAGATGATAATATAAAAATTAATTACTGCATTTAAATTTTCTCTGCCATAGAGACATTACATCTCGGATTTTCTATCTTCTTGTCTCCCAAGGAAAATGAATTAATAACATGGAACACATTACCATTTGTATATATTTAAAAACCTCCTAGTTAACATCCCACAAGTTCATTGCCAGAATTATAGCACTCTGATTCAGTGCAACATGAAACTGTTAAATACAGAGAGACCCAGTAACAATGGAAATGCCAGAGTATAATGTCAATAATACAGATGCTAAACAAAGACTTAAACAACACGGAACTGGCCCTGGTGGCAGCACAACAACATTATATCTTAATGGTTGGACATTAGCAGAGGGGGCTGGTTTTTACTACAGTCAAATACATTATAAAAATACCAACCATAAGTCAAGAACATGACGCAATGAAACTATCATACTGTGACACTGGACATTTTGAGAAGATGGGACTGCACAAGACTCCTCCCTTCCATACAGCCCTGGTAAGAATTGACATGGAGTATAAAGTCAACTAAAGCCATCTGGTATCTAGTATAATGGACCATTCTAATATGGACATCCATTTTGTAAAAATTCTGTCCAAAAGCTGAGTCATTTAGACCTCATGTGTTTCGAATTTCTAATTTTTGGTAACATCAAATAGTGAAATTTTGGAACACAAAAAATTCCAAAATGATTTCTTTAACAAATACGTACATTGAAAGTAGTTGTAATCACAGTTAAGACATAATCTTTTCATGATAAGGGAATCTTCAGCAGCAGCTGGAAGAAAGTGGAGCAATGAAAGCCACTTAAGTTTATACGAGGGTTGGAACTTTAATAGTGGCAACACTGCTGTAGAGATGCCATGCAACGGAACAAAATAGTGTCACTTATACCACACGTTAGTTATACATACCTACCTTACCTCAGAGCAAATGGACTCTCCCTTCCCACATCACATGCATGCGCAGTGACGAGAAGAACACAGCCTTGTGTTAGCTGGTGGTCTAATGTAGTGTTGTCACAATGTTTTAGAAACAGGAACAACAGAGTTCAATAAAGATTGAATGTGCCAGAGGCTGTACAGCATGACAGTGTCATCAAGGTCTTCAAGAGGCTTGCAGGGAATCTGCATTGCCTTACAGAACAGTGGTAAGGTGGGTAAAAGCCCTTGACTAGGGATGCCAAAATGTGGCAGACATGCATCGGCCAGGTGATCCTAGTGCCAATGTAGAAGAAGTGTATGCTTTTTTTGCGTTACTGGAGAGTGATTGATGCTAATGCGTCAATGAGCTGTATTACTGTTCATTTTTGGAACACAACCTGCGACCAGCTTTCAGAAAGAAGAGACAACACTTTCTGCAGAACACACCCATCATTTTGCAGGACAATGCTTGGGCGCATGCATGAATATTTGATGTGCTTCTTCTGTGGAATATTTTACGATGATGTCAGTGACCACAATATACAGGATGTTTCACGACTTTTGGGCATAACTGCAGGAGGTGATTTCCTAGGTCTTTGTGATCAAAAAAGTTCGTATAAACATGTGTCCGATTTTGGACGGTTACAGAGTTATGACTGTTTTAAACTGAGAATATAAGGTAACGATTACTGACAATAAACGGAACAAAATAATACGGAGTTATGACCGTTTTAAACTGAGAATAGAAGGTAACGATTACTGACAATAAACGGAACAAAATAATAAACCATCATAATACACGATACATTTAAAGTATGAATGTAAAGTTAACTTCGTGAAATTACATTTAATTTTAATTGATTGGTGCTTAAAGCTGATTTTCGAAAATGCCACCGCTGGCCTCAACACAGGCTGCCACTCGGTTGTGAACCGCGCCGGACATACCAACCCACCCCACCTTAGGTAGCTCTCATGTGTTGAGATAACGAGAATGCTCTGTCTGTAGGTGGCTAAAAATAGCGACCTGCCAGATGACAGACGCGGTTCATACGAGGGCGTGTATGGAAATGAAAAAATGGTCATAACTCTGTAACCATAAAAAATCGGACACATGTTTATATGAACTTTTTTGATCACAAAGACCTAGGAAATCACCTCCTGCAGTTATGCCCTAAAGTCGTGAAACACCCTGTATATCTCAGTGGAGGACTGAGGTAAGGCCGCGCCATAGCTCAAGCGGTTAGTCGCTGGCTTCCACCGCTGCGGCCCGGGTTCGATCCCGGGTCCGGTCAAGTGGGATTTGTGGTGGACAAAGTGGTACTGGGGCAGGTTTTCTCCGAGTACTTTGGTTTCCCCTGCCAATCTTCGTTCCACTAACTGCTCCACAATCACCCTCATCTGGGGCTGGTACAATAGGCCAGAAGTGGCCACAGTGCAATGGACTTAGTCCCACCCCACTAGCAATAAAAAAAAAAGACTGGGGGGGGGGAAACAAAGGCAGACATGATTAGTTCAACTTTCAGTACTGAAATGGGTCCAGCAGGAACTATCCTTGTATGAGACGGTGGAGAGGGGATGAAGAAAAATGAGGAGAGAGAGGTAGCAGGCACCTAGTCATGTGGATAGCAGACAATAGGGTAGCACTTAATAAGGACTGTCCCATGCTGCACATACAGCATTTCATATAAAATAAGCATGCATAATTTCACTAATTTTGTGTGTGCGCGCAAACATGTTTCATAATTTTACCATCCCTATGACATGGTAAATTCCAATGTATGGTAATAATATTTTTAAATACTTTATATATGAAACATCTTACATTTGGCTTCAGTCAAAATTCTTTTATGTTACTACTGCTGTATATCGTAACCAACTGTAAGAAAAACAATCATATTAGCAAAGTAATCTTACTGATGGAATCTGGTGATATCTCAATCCATTACTTCTCACATTAATTAACAGTGAACCTGAAAATAATGATGTTAAATTCTGGAGGTCTACACTGAATGTATGGGACACATTTAATTTAAAGGACGGATATGGGCTGTCAATCTCATTAGAAATGAGAATCAAGTAATTTTTTTTTCAAACTTGCACAACTGTGCCATTGATATAAAACATTATGCTATAAAAAGGCAGGGTTAAATCTGAAGGAAAGTCACATGTGTCATACGAAAGTCACAAGTTTCCATGAAGTTCATGAAAACCTGGGTCCCATAGGATGAGCTAACCTCACTCACTGGGCTGGAGCTTAGCTGTATCTAAGATAACCTACAGAATAGGTTTCTCCCCCTCACATGAGGTCGGAAGATGATTAAAGTTTCCGAAAAGTTGTTCTTTCTAGTTTTATAGAAGAAAGAACAATGGACGAAGTCTGAAAACCCAGTAATTCCGTATGTTCGTCAGAACCGTATAAAATCTAAGCAAGTTCTACTTTTCGTAATGGTTTTCAGGTATATTAAGTAAATATGCGACAATTCCTTTGCACCTTAAACTTTTCAGATCTGAGCTCACAAAGCAAGTTTACTTGAAGCTGGGATGCAGTTTCAAATCAAACACAGTCTTCCTTGAATACCACACAACTTGTTATGGCAATGCAATCGCCTATCTGAGTGGTAAAAGTGTTAGTGGTGTAAGTGAGAATAATAACAGCTTAGGTAGTTTACCCAATCAAATATGTGTAAATAGTAGTAGAGAAGAAACCTTATTTACTAGTAGTGGTAACACCAAACACCAAAAGGAATCTTTTTATCAATCAAAAGGATCACTGTCTTTAACTGTTTATCATCAAAACATAAGAGGTTTGAGAGGGAAAGTAAATGAACTGTTAAGCCAAT